CCTCTCGAATCGGTTAGGGACGGGCCTGACTATCGATATTCACGATAAGCACTTAGTGACCCTATAGAGACGTCACATCACTTATCTGTCAATCCATCAAGGAGTTACAGATTGTCTTGAAGTAAAAACTCTCCTAGCCATTCGTCTGGACCCATGGCGGTGACTATGGTAACGAGGTATAACTATTTCAAGTAGGGTCAGGGCGGAGAGAGAAAGAGAATCTTTTTCTTCGGTCTATTTTGTTAGCCTTAGAGAACAGAGAAGCTACCCTCCCTGAAATGCGCTATTCTTGTTTCCATAGCAGCAGACTGTCTTAGACAAACTATACGTTTCTATCGATTGTTGACTAAGTGTAAGCAATAACAAGATCCCTAAAACCGGGGAAAAAATGTAGAAAACTTCCGGTGTAAGCCTCCGCTTATGTTATGCTTACGAGGCGATGTGAAACTGAGTAGCAACAGTGCGAGGAGGTGGATAATGTCGCAGTCACAAGTAGCAAGTCAACTGTTCAATGTGGACTATTCATCGAAGTAGGCGTTTCCAGATCGAAGTGGGCGCTACTGTCAAGATAGGAGAGTTCATATCGTACTGTGCGTTTCTATCAAGGTAGGCGAGTTCACATCACTTCCGAAGGTCACCAATGTGGGGAGAGAGCAGTTATCGACAATGTCAACCTTCATCTATGAAAAGGTACCCCCATCATAGAATCATGTTAACACGTCTTATATACTAGTGAATTGCAGTTGTAATTTTGTAGTGGTAGATACGCTACAAGAGTTTTATGCAATTAATAAATTCTAACAGGTCGTGGGCCAAAAACAAAGTTAATAAAATTAATATAACAGCTTAAATAAAGTTAGCCTTGTTTTGAGTTTTTATCCCTTATTTGGCTACATTTGTGTAAAATATCCCCGTCAGTTATTTTATGGACAACATCATAGCAAGTTTGTGCAGTCTTCCGAATTAATTTGTTTGTTTCGTTGGAAGTTATAGATAGAACGCGTTATATTGAAAACACGACAGACAAGTGTAATAGTGGATGGTGCGTTTCTTCAAGCTTAGGCGTAAAAATCAGTCGGAAGTACTAACCCAGAAGTCTTACGACGAATTATAACCTCTAGCACTATTTATGCTTAGCTTCACATGGTCAACTATCCAATGAGATATGAATAGGCCAAACAATGATTGATTTATTCCACTCGGATGTAGTTCAGCATCTGGTTTGGTTGTAGTTCATTTAGGTCGCACTAGAGCTGTACAATGGGCTATTGGCGACGGTAAATGAAACATTCCTAAGGATGATCCGAAGACATGCCATCATAATTTTGATCCCCTGCAGAGAGGATGGCATCCCGCTTCGGTAGCTCGGCGACCTGCAAGCGAAGTCGAGTACTTTACAGTAGAACTGTTTAACGAGGACCCATACCGGACACCCTCGGTCCCTAAGCAGACTGATCCAAGAGGTCACCCATTCGCAGCCAGTGGTGCTTGACTTCGGTGATCAGCTGGGAAGAGCGTCTTTACGATTTGTCCACTGCAGGACCCTCTGGTTTGGACACGTCTATTTTCTTGGGGGGGAAAAAAACTAAAAAAGTTCCGCCACAGCAAAGTAATAAATTCATATGAAGAGAGTAATATAAATCGAAAATTAAACATGGCAGAAATAGGCATTTGATGATGCTCTAGGTACCTTTGGTCAGAAAACCCAAACTGAAAAAATGCTGCTGGTATTTACATATGCTACAACAGACCACTCCAGGACATGAAACCAAATAGGGTAGTGGAACCTAAGCTACGCTTTCATGTTGAGCTCAAGAAAAAGCTTAGTGGCCCTATTTTTTACTCGTTAACGAGAACCTTTCTCGGTCCCGTCGGAGGAGATTAAAGATTTCACCCACATACTCTTTGATCTCTATGCCTTCCGTAGCAGTGTTGACAGATTGGGCTACTTTTAAAAGTCGGATACTACTAAAAATCGAATTTGGGCTACTCATTATTTTTGAAACGCTATAAATCGCAAAATTGCGCTATTTTTTTTTCTTTTTCTATAATAAAACGATACTGAAAAGTTTGCAGTTTCTTTATCTTTAAAAAAGAAAAAGGAAATTTTTTTTTATTGTTGTTGAAAAGGCATCAGCTTTATTTCAGGATTCTTAATTTGTCTTGCTGCGCGGAGTCCAGAATCCTTCCGTATCTATGGCTCAAATTGTACTCGTGAGTATGATGGAGAAAAAAAATCTTTTACTCCAACCATTTTTAATCGCTTATCTTCTGGGAAAATAAATCACGTGACCTTCAATCTGAGCTAAAGCAAAATATTGAATTTGACGAAATTTTTAATGTAATGCATAAAATCTTAACTCTTGGACCATCTACTTTTTAAACTTAAATTCTGGCAGCACAGCTTCGTAGGGCACTAAAAAATGTATGAAAGATAGGTATGTATGACTTCATCGTAAAGCCTGTGGGCTCCTTAACTATACTCCCCTTTAAGCCATGAGAGACATCATTTCAAACAGTGTTACAGTAATTAATGTTTAAACTTTTATGTAATCAAATCTGATGTTCTATCTTGATAAACTATGACACACTTCAATCGATCTTCTGATGTTGTTTTTACACTACATTTGCATAGGCTTTATTTACAAAAAGTATGATTATTTTTACATATGAATAAATAAAATAGCATGAATCAGTACAAAAGATGTTCCTTCAGTTTCAACACATTTGAAATCTGTGCGTTTAAAAAAATTAATTCTGTGGTCACGTAGCATTTACTTCTCCATGAATTCTGAAAAGAAATAACATGATTTTACAAATATATATATATAGAGAGAGATAGTACTTATTTACTGCTCATAAGCTGCAGCTATATAATTTCATAAAATAAGTTCAAAAAGTAGAGAAAATATAGAAAAAATAATAGATGCATTTATTATAAAAGTAATTTTAATCATACATTACCACGTGTTTTTAAGTTTAATTACTACCGATAAAATCTGTTAATTTTGTCTGAGTTTTTCGTTTGAAATGCAAACTTAAAGGGAAAAAGATTTTACTGCTTTCCCTAAAAGTTAAGTGGCTTCAAAAATCAATTCAAGGATATAAAATAATTCCACCATAAAATGCGGTAACAAGTTTGAAATGTTCTGAAATATTTTGGGAAAGTGGATCTCAAAGAAAAGTTTGTTAAAAAGAAAATTCACTTCGCTATTTGGAAGTTATTTTACAAAGAAATTTCTAAAATATTGTTTGTTCCCCGAAAAAAAAATCGTAAAATAGAGAAATGGAAGTTTGTTAAACAGAAGTCCGACTGTACAATAGTGTGAGCAGGCATTTCATCAATGAATTACAAGTTTCTTTTCCAGTTGAAAAACAAGCCAGCAGTTTGCAATGTTTATTCAAAAGAAAATTTTTTATTTTAATTCTGAATTATGTGATAAATAATGATATTAACTTTTACAGGAATGCATAATTAAAAAAATATATTTGTTTAAATATTGATCAAATTAAATATATATTTTTTATAATATTTAATTTAAAAAAAATATATATTTTCGTAACTGCAAATTGATTAGAATAAAATAGAGACTGAAGTTAAGAAATGCATGCAGCTATATACTATTCCTAATAGGATGTGTTTAAGTGTAAATCTAAAATATTACTTAATAAATTCAGTAATAAACTTTCTAAAATATTTCTTTATAAATTAAGTATTCATAAACTATCTATCTTAACTTTTATAATATTTTTATATATTTTTTAATTTATTAATATATATCTATTTTATAATCTATCTTAACTTTTTATTACAGAAATAAAAAAAAACATTAAATAATTAAATTTTATGTCAGTATGTTTAAATATAAATGTTAAGGATTGTATTTGCAATTACTTCATATCTTATTTAAATTAATCATTCTATTGACAAAATTTATCTTTGTAAATTCATGAATGACTTTTTTTTATTGTACTTGTACTTTAATATAGGTATTTTAATATTTATAGTGACAATTTTATAGTAAAAATAAAATTTTACAATATGATATTTTATCCATAGTCAAAAATAAAATTGAAAACTACTGAATTATATTGATTGAATATTACTGAATTAATATTAATTACATTTACTTAATTTATAATTAATTAATCTGAATTATTATCAACTGAATTTACTTAATTGATTATTAATTGAATAATGCTGAATTTTTTAAACAAAAATAATTATAAACTTTTATGAAAATAGGATCAATGGAGAAGAAATTATGTAAGCAAAATATCAACTAATTTTAAATAGAATTTTAAAACAATATTTAAAAAAATAGACAAACTCATTTTGAATTAAAAAAAGTTACATGGCAGTTGATTTTAATGACCATATATTTTAATTCAATAATAAATATACCATAATAATAAGTTTAAATTTTAAAATTAGTTTTAACAATCAAATTATATTTATGAAATTAACACATTTAGTTATATTTTGCAAAAGAATCTTCTCTTAATTCTCAGTTTAGAAAAATTCCATGTATTCTAAATTTATTCACTGTAGCCATTTTAGTTTTTATTTATTTTACAATTTCATTCAGTTTTTCACATTTTCCTGAAAAATGGAAAAAATAGGTTTCTGCAATAAGAATGCCCAGCCCTAAATTTAAACAGCGTCACAATGCACATTATTTTAACTAAAGGCGTTTTCATACACCGACAGTGCGCCGAAATAGATTGGGGTTGAATTAATTTAGAAAACAATGAATAGAACAATGCTTTTTTGCATAATTTGTGGTGAAAATCAACATTTTAAATAAAACAAATACCTCATCTTGAGAAAGGGAAAATTAAGCACTTTTAAAAATGCCCATTGAAAAAAGCTCCTTTAAATGCTTTCAAAAAACAAAAAAAAGCACTTTTTAAAAACGCTATGCACCCTGTAAATTGATTCAGAGGGGGAAGTTTTAAGCTCTGAAAAAAAGTTTTCTTTCTTTTCTGGACTTTTTTATTTCTTTAGTTTATCTCAAACATTTAAAAATAATTTTTTTACATGTAAAAGAATTAAAAAATGAATTATAGTAAAATAAAAATGATTAAAGAATAAAGAGTAAAAGAGGGAAGCTCAAGCTTTTATTAACGTAACTAAGTTCTTTCTTTTTTCATTATCAACAGCAAGTTATTGAAAAATGGACACACAGAAAAAAGGTTTAAAAAACAGATCACTTTCAAGTAAATATGCTTTACTATTACCTTATACATAACTCTTTAGAAACCAGCCTGTCTGATAGGCAAACAGTTTTTCAACCATGTTTTTATTAATCTTAATAAGACATATGTAATATACAAATATATTACACCTTAATTTTAAAAGAAATGTGCTTTTCTTTAAAATGCAATTTTAGTTTTTATCTATTTTATTGCTTTATGTGCTGTTAATAATTATGTAGTTCACAATTCATACATTCCTGTTGTATGAATGTATCTAATGATTTTACAACACTTGATAATCAGATACAGTTCAGATCTAACATAGCGTGTCAAATTAATTACACTGCATATTATATAAAAATTTCATGCAAAAATAACAGATGGCAATTTGATATTTCTGTTTTTAGCAAGCTTATATGGATGTTATTAACTTAATTGAATAGAAATGAGAGATCTATTCAAAAACATTGATAAATCAAAACATTTTGTGACTAATAAGAGATAAATAAATGTTAAAGAAATAAAACATTCAAAATTAAGTATTAATAGAAATTTATTACTTTTCATACTTTTGTAGTCAATATCATTAAAGGAAATCTGAGATAATAAGGAAATTTAGAATTTAACAAACAATTAAAAGTGCAAAAAAAGTTGATTCATTACACAAAAAATAAATAAAACCAGCAATTATAATGCATAACACAGTAAGCTAAAATTACGACTAATATTGCAATAAAGAACAAAACAAAAATATTTCTAATATTACTTAAAATGATATTTTTTACAAAAGAGAACTTAAACAAAACAAAAAAAGACATAATTTTTTAAGCATAAAAAAGAAAATTACTCATTTATCTTTTAAAAACAAAATAAACCTAGAAGTAAATAACAAATATTGAAACGATATAGTTCCTTAGAGATTGAGGAATGTCGGAATCACAGTTCTTTACAAGTGATGTTAAAAATAATAAGTGTTACACTTTAAGCGTAACATACATTTTGCATTTTTTTCAGCACCATAACGTAATAATCAATAGACTCATAAATTTATTAATTTAAGATTTCTTACAATTACAGGATCTACAGGGTGCGAAGCCAAATCCTTCAACAAAAAATAAGCACCTTTTAAGCACTTTTTAAGCATTTAAAAAATATTTTCAAGCACTATATACATTAAAAAAATGCAAAATAATTTTCAAAGACTTTAGATGATCATGAGAAAATAACTAGTTTCTGACAAAGAACTCTTTTTCTTGATTATATTAGCCTTATAAAATGATCGAGANATTTGAGAGATTTTTCGATTCTATTACAGAGGGTGGAAAATGAAGTCTGAAATTGAGAATCTCTTGCAAAATGCAGCAGAGTTGCACATGAGAAGGCAATAATCTCACCGTACACAGCTAAGTGTACGCACATACGGATTCGCAAGTGTTTCATCAAACATGCGAAATGATTGGCACTTTCATACGCTACGGACCGATGGAATGCTGAAATAGATTGCGGTCGAATGAATTGTGAAAACTTTGAATAGAACAAAGTAAAAAACACGCTTTTGGCGAAAATCGACATGGTAACGAAAAAATATTATTTTTGAAAAGGAAAAATTAACCACTTTTTAAAAACACCCAAAGAAAAAAGCACTTTTTAAAAACGCTACGCACCATGATGTATAAAAAAATAAAAGCCATTGTTATTAACTGCTCTAATGTTACAAAGCAGAAATACTAAATAGTGCCTCCTTTTTTTCAGAAGTGAAGCACATAAAATTTAGCACAGAGTTTTTTTCATCTCACTTTCATGTGCAACTATGTATAACTTAAAATAGACCTAAATCTATGTGGAACATGAGGAATTTGTGTACTACTACAAATATTAGATTATCGTATTCCCTAACAAATTTCTAGGGTAAAATCTATGTTTTGCTCTCTGCATATCACAGTCTAGAAAATGCAATTGTGCATATAAAATCTGTAGTATACAAACTCTATTAAAAATGTAGTAAAATACCCTTTAATGTGAAAAATTGTTATGAGGGTTGTATTAAGTTTATGGTTGTGTGTGTGGTCTCTCCTGTGTTGCTATTACAGAGTGCAAAGTCAGATTTTTCAACAAAAAATAAGCTCCTTTTATAGAGAAGTTTATTTTTAGTTAATCACTTTTTACAAACACTGAATAAAAAAAGCACCTTTAAAGGCTTTTAACAAAGGTAAATCCAGGGTATCTGCTACATTTAAGATTTTCAAACCCATGACTAATTCCAAGAATTTTTCATAACTTAATGAAGTTACTATTTTCTCCGACAAAGACACAGCAATAAATTTAAAAAAGCATTAAAATAACATAAATTGAAATGATGGGTATAACCAAAACTGTTATACTCTACATCTTCATATTTATAGATTTTAAATTTAAAAAACAGAGTAAAGAAAGAGTTGAAGCAATAAAATAGCTGAAATTTTTTTCTGCAGAAATACATTCTAAAGATACGTTTCTCGTTCATCCGAAAGGACATAAATACTCCTGATTTTTCTGTTCTCATTTCGGAATAACAAAAAATCGCCAATGACTGGCTTGCTTCAGCTAGATTTTCAAATTGATAAAACAAAAAATAAATTATAACAAAAGTTCTGAAATCACAGAAGTTTAAAAGATAATTAGTTCTAGAAATGATGTTTTTTCTTTCCTTTTTTGAAAGAACGCCATAACTTTTAAAGAACATGATAAAAACATTTTATATTTTAAGAAAATCTGACTGTGAGCGGGGATTTTATTACGAATTCAGATATTCGGAACACCACAAAATGGGGAGGGGGTATTTTGAAATTCCATTTTAAAAATTAGATTTTTTAGCGACCTAAATCCATGACTTTCCATGATTTTCTTTAAAAAAATAGTTAAAATCATGACATTTCATGAAAAATTTTGTTCAATACTGAAATTCATGACTTTCCATGATGTTTAATGCTGATATCCTGTTTATAACAAAAATTTTAAAAAAAATAAATAAATAATGCAGATAACGTGCCTTTATTCAGTCAGAGCTTCTTTCAGCCGCTCCCTAGCCTCTATAACTTTTTGCTCCTGCATATCAATGTCTTCGTCTGTAACATGAAGTCCCTATGAAAAAAATTCATCAAAAATATTAATTCTGAATCAAAAGTTTATTTCAAATTACAAATATTAGAGATACATATGGCAAAAATTAATATTTTTTACTAAACAAAAATTGGGCTTATTACCCCATAAGCTAGACTCTTCATGCAAATTCTAGACTCTTCATGCATATTCTAGACTCTTCATGCAAAATCGCAAAAAGAATCAGGCAATTTTCTACAGAGGAAATAGTTTACAAGAAGTAGTAAGTTTAAATGTTTGTCCATAAGAAAAAAAACCAAATAAACTTGTGTAACTGAGTCCTGTTACTTTTCTGTTATTATTCAACTTTAATTCTACAAAATATGAAATTAAACTGTAATCGGGGGTAGTAGAATATATGTTTTTAGGGGTGTTCATACTAAAGTTAAGTGACACATCTGATTTGTTCGATACCTAGGATAAGCTCGAAAACTGGATTTGTGCAAGGTAATAATATATTATACTGCTTAATTCAAAAATTATAATTAACAAAAAGTCTAAATTTTAATTCAACATTTAAATTCAATGATTTTTACAAAAAATTAGATTTTATAATTTCTTTTATTAATTTAAAATCTTTTTTTTTCTTTCTTTGTGCTTTTTCTTGTGCCCCTTTGATCAAAATAATAGAAATCTAGAAATTTTGAGTTTAATCATTGCCTGCTGAATTTCAAGTGAAAATGGCCACTAAAATCATGGGGGTTCTAAGTCAAATGCGGACAGAAACAAGACTGCTTGTCATGTCTGTTAGGAGACAGAAGCAAGCCTTGAATATAAATATGTGGAAATTGTCGGGTTTAACAGATATCTCATTCTATTTTTGCAAAATATATGTTTCTTTTTTTTAAAATTTTGTATTCTCATTTTTGACATTACGTTGGGTAGGTGGAGAAGAAAATTAATTTCCTCCTTATTTGTCATTCAAGTTGAGGGCGGGGCAGTAACAAATTCTTATTTTCTCTCCCATCATTGGCTATCAATCAAGCATAAAGGCGTGGCATGCTGATTGGGTTCTCTTTATTTTTTCTTGTGTGACTGAAATTGACTCCCCCTCCACTTTAACTTTCACTCTAATAAAACGGTTCCAGGAAATGCCTCTTTTACTAGCCAGCTGCATTGGAAAGAATGGAGGGGGGGGACACAGTTGTGCTCTTTTGAAAACAAATCTCTCTCCTTCCCTGCATTCCTGAGGAGCATCGCTTATGGTCACTCAACGCTCTTGTGAGGTCTTCTCTTCCCCTTTCTGTTGATTTACGGGTTCAATGCATGCATCACTAGAAGCTAGAGAAGGAAAAAACATGTCCAAAGACTTTTTTTTTAAAGAGAAGGGAAGATAAGAGATGTTTGTTTATTTTGATTGTTAAAAAGTGTCCGGGAAATCGACCCTTCCGGAAAAGGGACGTCCGGATATGGGACGTTACACTGTATATGAATTTAAAAAAAATTTCCTAATAGGAATTTTTTTTTTCCTATTAGGATTTCTACATGATCATGTTAATGTATAACGATGTTTTGCTATTAGGATAACATAATTATACGTTAGAATAATAATACGTTAGAATTTCCTAATAATCAAAATTTCAGTTAAGGATATTTTTATAACTATAGTAATAACTCAAAATAATATCTCTTTTCTTCAACTCCTTTTTGTCTCTTTCTTTATATATATACATATATACACAAGTCTACTATTTTTATGAACGAAAACCAGTATTTTTATGGAATGGAAAATAACAATCATTGCCTTTTATATCAAACTTTATGAAAATTTTAAAACCCTTGTATAAACAGGGAGATAGTTATCGAACTATAATGTAACGTAAATTATTTAAAAACTACTGACTGCACAAATTTTATTCAACCTGCAAATGTCACTCCAGGATTATGTCAAGTAAAATTTTCTTGGTACACCCAATGATTTCTAATGAAAATCTGACTTGAACACACTATGTAATATTTGTATTCAAATTTGTAAAAGCATTGAGAATATAATTTGAATGCATCATACCAGAACCAATGGTTGGGTGGGATTAATGTATACTCCAGGACTTTTATCAAGAAGTGCTTTTGGCTTGTTTTGTCCAGTGATAGCATGCCCATTTATGTGTAAAGCAGTCACAATGCTTCTTAATATGGTCTCATCACCCAACTGCAGACCAACAGCTGAAATATAAATAATTATACACATTACGATAAAATGAGAGCATCATGATTATACACATTAGGATAAAATGAGAGCATCAAGATTATACACATTAGGAAAAAATGAGAGCATCATGATTATACACATTAGGAAAAAATGAGAGCATCATGATTATACACATTAGGATAAGATGAGAGCATCATGATTATACACATTAGGATAAGATGAGAGTCACAATGCCTCTTAATATGGTCTCATCCCCCAATTGCAGACCAACAGCTGAAATATAAATAATTATACACATTAGGATAAAACGAGAGCATCATGGATGGGGAAAAAATCCAGTAGATCTTACAAATTTCATGATAATTGTTGAAAAAAAGATACTAAATATTTTACACATGGGGAATTTTAGGATTTTTATAGCCACCAAAATAGAAAACAATTCAATATTTTCTTGTCATGATTAACATTAAATGAACTTGAAATGTTAGGCATTATGTTTACTCATAATTTTGAATACTAATAGGTATTTAATTCATCAAAGACAGATAAAGGATTTTTAATTAATTAAAAAAGGGATTTCTGAATAAAGATAAACTCAAAATTTTAGAACGAAAAAGTTTTAAACGGATTTTAATAAATGAGGCTCACTTCATTATGTATTAATTACAATTATTTAAACATTCAAGCAAGTAATAATCTGTGCAAATATTCTAATTCAATATGGATTTCTTTAGGAAACTTATTCAATTTTAGGGAATTTTTAAAAATGCATAAAAACCAGGAGAATTTTTCATTAAACCAGAACATCAAAAGAAACTGGCAAAATCCAGTAGAGTTGGCAGCTATGTGAGAGTGTTTTTATATAATATTAAACCATATGACTCTGATACTTCATATGCTTTTTCATTAATAAAATATTTCTGAGAATAATAATTTATTGAGAGTATTCAATTTTTTGCATGATATTTTTATTATATTTGATTATTTTTCGCTAAACTGTTTCTCAATCAAAATATGAATCAGCTGTTATGGAATAAATGGCAAGTTTCTTCACCAGTGGAAAAAAAATCATTCCAGAAGAAATAAGTTACTTCCAACTCAAGTGGAAGAAACTAGATTTTTAATAAAGAAATATAGAGTGTTAAACAAATTTTTTTTAATATATTTCAAATAAGTGAAAATAAAAATAAAAAATTGACAAGGAAAATAATTTTAACCAATATCTTAAGAAAATAAAACAAGTATAGTTTCTTTTAACCTTTCACATAAAGAAGCAAAGTAGAACTTCATTTCATAATTTCTTTTCAAATATTTAAAAAAAATTATATGTTGTATTATACTACAAATCACACACGGGGTGCGTAGCTAGAATTTTCAATAAGAAATAAGCACCTATTAAGTGCTTTTTAAGCACTCAAAAGATATTTTTAATAACTTTAAAAAAAATTCATAATTCGGATCTGTGCATTAATATAAATTATTTTTTCTATCGTTTAAAGCTCTTAATTTATAAACATAAAATCAGTATAATTCAAAAACTTTACATAATCATGATAAAATAACTCGTTTCTGATAAATATTGCGGGGAATATTGTGAAAATCTTTTGTAATTTAGCACCTTTTGGAATTTAGAACGACAATCGTTTCGACAAGGAAAATAAAATCTTCGGCAAAGAAAAAAGATAGAAAATTAAGCACTTTTTACAAACCCTGAATAAAAAAAATGCACCTTTAAGGGCTTTTAAAAAACATAAATAAAAAATAAGCACATTTAAGTACTTTTTAAAATTACTAAGCACCCTGATACGTATTACTCACAATCGCAAACAGAATAATAATTTTTATAATCAAATGTTGTTATTTAAATGCTAAAAGAGTTTACCAATAGATATTTGCAATGCAGGTTTCATTTTCACATACATTATCATAAAATTGTAACTTAATTATATTTTTTTAACAAACCTAAGAGTTTTCAATTACCAAATTTCAAGCTAAAATCAATGATTAATTTACTTAAAATTTTAAAAATTTCATGTGATAAACTTTAAAGTTTTAATTATAGAGTAATCAACTTGCATGTACTCAAATACAAATGTTGGGGCAAAGTTTTTTTGTTGTTGTTTTGTTTACATTTCAATAACTTTAAATATTTTGCTTAGGATTTACTGTAATAACTTTAGTGTGAAAAACTATTTCTTTATACTTAGCTGTTAAATAATATCAGTTTGTTTAAATGAAAGATAATTAATTGAAAACAAAATTGCTATCTAAATTTCTAAAAAATGCACCAGTATTAAGAAAATTTAAATAAGTTGAAGAAAAAAAAACATTTGAAAAAGTAATAGTTTCTAAATTAACATTTTTTAATTAATCTTCTTTTTAAGTAATATTTTTTCTTCTTCTCAGATAATTTTTCTTTACAGAATATTCAGTTTAATATAAGTACACATAAAACTAGATTTAAAACAAATTATAAAAATTTTAAAATTCCATATACAACTAAAACATAATTTTAAAAAAAAATTAAATGTAAAATTCCTTATTTAATTTATCTTTAAATTTGAACAATTCATTAAATAGTTATCATTAAACAATTATATTTGGTCATTTTTAGTTTCTTCTAGTGTCTTCAGATGTTTTTCACTTTTTTCCAGTGTATTGAAAGAAATAGTTTTTTCCCAAACAAAATGCAAATTTATTTTATGTAATTATTATAAAAACACTGTACACAAAGATTATATTTTAAACTACATATGAAAAGATATTATTGAAGGATATTTTAAACTACATAAAAACATAACAATGCCAACAAAATCTGCTTAAAATGTTTTCCTAAATTTTAAATTTTTTAATGAAATCAAAACTAGCAATGTACTTTTAAGTTTAATGCAAAAACTAATAATTTAAATTTCAAAATATTTGTTAGTAAAATAATTATTTACTTCATTTACTGTCTATTGAAACTGTTTCAATATCATTAATCCAATTTGTAGAATCTCCATTGCAGGCATTACTCACAAAGGAACCAACTTAAAAAAATTTCAAGATGCAATTAAATAACATTCTCTAATTTTGACTAATTATCTTAAATTCTCTCTCTCCAATTTGTATAAAAGATTTTAAAAAAAAATTAAATTTGAAAATGAAAACTCAATTATAAAACATATTTCATTTAACCATTTGTAAATTGACTTAAGTAGTGTAATGTTTTAATTTTAATAATATAACTTTTATTGATAAACTATTAATATTTTAAAGGAAAAGAAATGTTTTTTCAAATAATTCTTACAAAATTTTACATTCTTTAATTTTAAGAGTAAAATTACACACAATATTCATAATGCTGGGGTAGATATTAAGAAAACTTATCCACATATCTGGTGTTCCAGTAACTAAAAAACATAGTTTTGGTGCTTCAGTAATTAAAATATCATTAGTTTATACACATTTTCACGAGTGTGCTTACTTGACTCGATTAGATTTTTTAAAAAGGAAAAATCATAATACTTAGAGCGTGCAATTCTACTATTAAGATGAAATATGCTATTTTGTGATAAAAACAGATTAAAATAGCATACCAGTCCCGAGTAATTTTATAGTGGTCTGACTCAAATTTTTGTGATCTCGAACTACCATTATTTTTAAGCCCTGTAATGTAATTTTTCTTACAACTGAAATATACTGAGAGCTAAAACAAATAAGTTCAAAAGATATGTAATCTACATCACTATTTTTGCTACATTTTCTGTTTTCTTTACTTTATATAGAGAAATGTAAAGGAAAGACTGAAAAAGGGTTATAATATTCCTTAGAGATACAAGATTGCTTACAAGACCGTTTAATTTTCCCTCCCTCTTTTATTTATTTTCTAATTTGGTAACCTCATAAAATTTACATAATTCCCTGGGGTCTGAGATCCCAGTCTGATTGATTCCATTCAACTGTAAATAAAATAATTAAAGCTGTATGTGCATTTAAACCACAAATTTTTTTTATATATATCCAACTATGTAAAAAATAAAAATTTTATTTTTACTTTTCTAACAATTTTTTTTTCTATAATAAACCCAACAAGATTTTATTATAGAAATACATGCACATATTTAATTTAAAAATATTTTCCTGTCATTTATACATTAAATTGCAGGCTTTTTGGCGGGTAGTAAGAAATCACTAAATTATTATTAATGGTAATACTTAAATAAATGTAGTAATAAGTGCTTAATCTACTAATCTAGGTACTGCAGTACTGTTTTATTTTACAGGTTAGTAACCTTTTTTTCTGCTGAAAATAGCAATGCAACAACGATAATAGATAAATAAAATACTTCAACAATAATACAGCATGTTAGAGAAAAATATTCTAGGCAGCCAATAAAATCTCTTTTTAGTATACCTTTAATTTTTGAGGGTAGTTCAAATGGCTCAATTACTTTTCCTTTCTTATCACAAGCATAAATACCTTGTAAACGCTTCTCCCAGAACACCTGCAACATAAAAAGACAATTGAGAAAACTAATATTTTTAATAAAATTAATAATGAAAACTAGAATAAAAATTTTTTTGCAACATTTCATTTAAAGAAATTATAAAATTTCTACGAATAATTTTTAGCAATTTAGAAAGCCAATATTTTATTTTATTTTATTTTATAACTGTCGTCGAACAGTCGATCCAATTTTGGGATTAAGACTACTAATGTTCAACTCCGTAGCCTCGTAATTTTGAATCAACCCAGAAGACAAAGGAGCTCCTTGATCAGTACCCCCAGAGGTTTGCTTTGTTACGGGAAAACTGAGGACTCCGTGAACCGACAGATTTAATGTGCATCAGTCACCATTTACTACAATTTTAATAATTATTTTATTCCACGAGACTTCCTAAATGTTCAATGCCAACTCCTGAACAAATTATATTTTCCAAAATAATTTAGAGTTGTTATGCCTTAAATATAGAGGTAGAGAAAGTAAAGAGTTGTAGCACACTAAGTTATTAGGTAAGGGTTTTTATACCATTATTTGAAACCCAGTTTATCACACAAACTATTTGAGACAATGCTCCTCTTTTTTTTGAGGTTGAGAAATAACATTTATTGATTATTTTGGGTAATAACTCAGCTGGAACGGGTAATACCTCAGCTCAAACTTTACGTAATCATGATAAAATAACCCGAGGATGATCTGAAGACTGATACCGTGAACCCCCTACTTAGCCTGATCAAAGTGGTCACCCACCTGCTTACTAACCAGAGCCAGTGATGTTTGACTTCAGTATTTTGCTGGGAACTGTGTCGTTACGATCAGTCCACTGCAGGACTGTTCCCATGATAGAAACACTGAGCAATTCATAAAAGTAATTAAGGCAAATTTTAAAAAAAAATGTCATATAATAAAGTTTAATTAAAACACAAAAAAATCTACTTCTATAACAATATACAAAAGCAAAGAAAGGGAGAAAAAAAAATTCAATGCAGCATATAAAGAGGAATAAAATAACTTAATCAATTTTGGTAAAGGCAACTAAAAAAAAAGACATACCCGGAGTGCGACCAAAATTAAATAAAGAAGTAAACGAAATTACAGCACCATTAATTGATTACTTCCATAAAGAAATAAGTTGGAAAGCATGAAAAAATAAACCTGTTTAGGTTTTTCTTGAGGTCCATGAGCAACTTCAGAGTGAGCCTTGGAGAGCTGATTTCTTACGACAGTGACCGATTGCTTGAAAATGGAGGCCGTTTGTCGGATAGGTAAAACGATTGCAGCACTTATTTTAGGGGGAGCTTCAACTTCTGGTTGCTTTGTTTCCTCTTGCTCTCTCTTTCTCTTAGTTGAAAGCATCTTTCAATTTGGTCATTTAACTACAAAAACAAACAATTATCTCAGATATAAATGTAATTGAAACTTCAATCTAGAAAAAAAGTTCGCTGTATATATTATTCACAAACCTATATTAAGAGGAAACACAAAATCACTGTGCAAATGTGTGAGCTATATAAGGATAACTAATACTAGTTTTGACTGCTGGAAAAACTTAGAGAAATAAAGAACAGTTCAACCTACATAAAAAAAATAATATTGCAGCAAATGAAAAAGTATAGTATACCTAGCTGAACTATCTTTAAATAATTCATAATTAATTTATAATAATAAAATTCATAAAAATAATAACTTGAGGGGTTAACATTTTGTTAAAGAAAAATATATGAAAAAAATTCCCTGTACTTTCCCAATTTATAACGAAAAAAACCAAAATTCCCTGTTATTTTAGATGATTTTTTAATTTTCTGTATTTTTCAGGTTTTCCGTATTCTCCCGGTGGAGCGACAACCCTGTTTTAGATGTAATATAGGCACACTTTTTACCAAGTACTTTAGTTCATTTTTTTTATTTTATAACAACTGTCGAACAGCCAACCCAAATTTGAGTTTAAGACTATTAATGTTCAACTCTGTAGCCTTGTAACTTTGAACCAATCACAGAAGATAACAGAACTTCTGGATTAAGTACTAGGCAAAAGTGTCTGCCTGGAGGATTTTTTGATGGAACTAATCTGCATTTGTAGTACATGGAGAGGAGATCCACAAAAAACTTCTACAGTTAGCCTAACAGCAAGGAGACTTCCGTCTACCATTGCGGATATTTTACTTCAGCACTGTGGTGGGTGCGAGCCAGGTACCGAATTGGCATCAATCAACCAATCCAACCATTACCACATTTTAAGGTGAACGCTCGGCAATGGTAGTTGGCATAGGAGATCACGATACGGAAATATCCCTTGGTTCCTTAACGTTATTTAATTAAAGAAGAAAAATATACGCTTCCTTATGCAATTATACTTTAAAATTACATCTTCATCATTTAGAGAAATTTCCAAAGCTTATATCTTGATTACACAATAAAGAGTAAAGATTTTATCTATATATTTTTTGAAATAAACAAGTCGTCTCATTACAAATATAAAAAACAATTTTACAAATATAAAAGAAACACAACTTTCTCTAAATAGAAAAGAAAGTCACTCATTTTTAAAGGTATAAAGAACATGCACAGTATAAGTCGAATAGAAAATAAGTATCTTTGCAGAGTGATACTCTGACATGTCTGCGTTACTGTTTTTTTTTCAAATGATATTTTTACTTAAAATTTGAAACCTTAAAAACCTACTTTTCCCTCCAAAAAAGACCGATAAAGCTCATTAAATAACTTATTTTGTCTTTTTCGAATTGTGATTGTTTATGATCTTTACAGTTTATTTCTGTCCCTTTAAAGAGTAGAATGCAATTAAATATTTAATATTTCAATACACAGAGCTAGAAGCAAGTTGAAGGAGTTTAATAGTTTCACTAATCACTGCACAACAACTCAACTCAACCACTCCGTGCTCTTGAAACACAACAATTTATTTATCACTGATGTAATAAAGTAGTAAATTAACCTATATTAAGCATTTAAACCAATTAATTTAATTTGGATTTTACATTTTACTGTAAAAACATGGGTAATGTTTTTGCTTCGGGACTAGCTCCCCCACCTCTAGCAGAACCTGTACCATCACCAAATATGCCGGCTGAAGAAAATGTTCCCAAAAGTTCTCAGCAAAACTCTACTGATCAAAATCCTGGCTCACTTGAAGATCTACATAAAAAGTGCAAAGGTACTTATTAAGAAATTTGTAGTAAAATTTTCTTGTAAATAGCTCTGATGTTACCTACGAAAAGTGAATCTAGCTGGATAGAGCAATAAAATCCCATCCCTTACAGTAGATAAGAAAATAAACTGTCCCCAACTTTTTTTCTCAACCAAATTTAATCTCCGATTAGCGCATTTTTAATTGTATTATGTCTCTCTCAATAGAACCTCACCTTCTTTTTTTACTACCTGCGTTCTCGTTACGATTTCGTTTACGCACAATTTCTATATTTTTTTTACGCTAAAAAGCAAAACGTAACTTCGGATGAACTTCAAGAGCATGAACTCAAAGAGAAATTCCAAATTCAAATGTAGTGATGAATAGTGTAAAATTTATTACTAAGGACAAAATCACAAACATTAAAGAGGATCTTTCTGTAGAAAAAATTATGTTCTTTTGCCGATATTGCCTTATTGTGATCTGTTGCACCCACTACAATCGCCAAGGAGCCAAATAAATCTTAGGCTTCCAAATTTAAAAAAAAAACGGTAGACCTCTGGGGTAACCATGAGTTATACCTTATGAGCTGGTTCCTTTCTGTGGTGTTTTTTTAGTTTCTAGTGGGACCGCAAGTTTCCAAGACTTGGCTATTGTTCTGCCACAGATCACAATATGGAAATCTCACTGTTCTATTTCTCATTTTAAAAAGAGAATAAAAATACTTATAAGTTGCTATTTTGTTATAAATTCCGATTTGTAACACAAGAATTATTTAATAATGTGTAAACGTTTGCCCAGGGGTGGCTACGAGTTATACCGTTTGAGCTGGTTTTATTTAGTGGTTTATATGTCCATCCATTTTTTATTTATCTGGCTACAATTAGATCAATAAATATTTTTAATCCCACATTTGAGTTGCCCTTCATTCCATGTCATACTCAATTTTTTTTCCCCAGAGGTATTGCTATTGATTTTCGCACGATTTCTTGAACACCAATATTATTATGACAATGCGAAATATTAATTGCGCATTTTAGTTATTACTTTTTGACAGACTCAATTTGTGATGAAGATCTAGATAATAGGTTAGAGATAGGCTTGTTTAGGTAATTTTTTTAACAGATATTTCTATTGATCTCTGCATAATTGTTAAAAATCCCGAAATGTTCCCACGGTTTTATGATACTTAGAAATTGTAATTGTGTATTTGAGTATTCACGATTTAAAACATTGATTCTATTATTTTTTCTATTGATTTTTCGGCAATTATTGCCACTGATTTTCACATTCCTTTTAACTACCTGATATTTTTAATATTATATTATTTATTGCATCACGCGGATTGAAAAACCTACATTTGATTATCCCTCTTTGAAGTGTCTGATTCATGCAATTTCATCCTAAATCTATGTGGTTTTGTCTTTAATCTTATTTTATTATCTAGTTATTGCTACAAATTTTATAGTTTATTAAATCCAGTTTCTTTTCTTTTTGTACCAATTTGCAAAATTGGTGTTGTTTTGGATTTGTCATTGCATGCATTGCTATGACGGTCGCTGCTGTTTGATAATTTTTTAGAATTCTTTTTTTCACTTTTAATATTGTGATGCATTAAGTTGATGAGTTTGTTTCTTTTAGTTTTATACATTTATAATAATTTAAATATTTTTATATTCGTTTTATTATTAACTTATAATTACTGTCTTAACGGCAATACAAATACTGAAGAAGGAAGGTGACTTCTTGAAACACGGATAGAGCCAGGATTTGAAAACCAATCCGAGGACAAACATCAATTGAGTCAACTTTTGCAACCCATGATTTGAAATGTTGTGGCGTTTATTGGAGTCACTCTAGAAGAAAGAATCATTTGGCCAATGGGTAACCAGTGATCACAATTTTATATGTGACGACAAAACTAAAAGTGTTTTTTTCATTATTGCAGGGATATTATATATATTAAAAATAATCTCAATGTACACTGTTTTTCTAATATTCAACAACTGTCATTTGTTGTTAAATGATTTCTCTTTTTATAGATGTTTTTCCTACTGTTTTTGATGGTTCAAAATTCATGGTGACAAAAGCTTTGAGTAACCATTTCCAGATCAGCCACACTTTGAATATGACGTCTCCCAATCCTGGCTACAGATTTGGTGCAACTTATGTCGGAACTAATCAGATCAGTCCTGTAGAAGTATGCCTATCATTAAAGATTTTTTAATATTTTTGTACTTTTTGTCCTTCAAGTGATACCACTAGAAAGACTTTATGACTAATGACAGGCAAATCTCAACAATTAGAAAAATATTAAAAATATCAAAAGATTTCTTAATATTTTTCTATTTTTTGTCCTTGAGATGATACTACTAGAAAGACCAGGGGTGAGTGTATTTCGGAGATATCCTGCAATTCCGGGTTTTTTGCATTATCCTTCCGGGTGAAAAAATTAAGAGCAAGGAATGTGATTTATCTGGGAATATCGGGAAATTTCGCGTTTCTCTAGACCATTTGTTCTCATACTTTCGCTAATGGAGGAATTATAATCCGACGAAATTTTTGTGTAATTCCTCAATCTAAATTCCAAATTTTGAAACTTTCACTAATTTGGGCTAACGAGGTTGTTACATACGTGTTATTCTCTTGCCAAAGGGCAGAAATACACCAATTGATTATTTTGGTTTAACTGATTTTCACCATTTTGAATATTTAGAACTTCTCTGGAATCCGCTAGTATCGTGATTCATATTCACACGGTTTAAATACCAAACGTCAATTTTCACATTTATCTCATTTAAGAGATACACGTTGCAATTCATATTGACATGGTTTAAAAATTGTACACCGTGATTCATATTCACACAATTCTAAAATAAAATATTCATCAGATTTAAAGAATCCAACAACGCAATTCCTGTAAGAACTAAGATTAGTTACTATAAAGGTGTGATATTCACAGGGTTCATACAGACTCCTTATACTCCTTGGAAATAAAAAAAGTCTCCAAGGAGTACTTAGAACTACTTAGATTTCCAAATTAGTCCTTAGAAACTCCGTAGATTATTGCCTTGCATAGATGAACTTACTAAGTCCACTGATGAATTTGCTGTCCAAGCAGGGAAACAAAATGATATGACTTGGCTATAATAGTTTAAGTGGTTCGATCCTCGGGCCGGGCAAGGTTGACTCAGCCTTTCGTCCCTTCAGTGGGTCGATAAATGAGTACCAAGCATGCTTGGGGACTAAACACTGGAGGTTCCGCGTTCGGCTGACCCCCTGACCGGAACATCTGCTTCTGCACCCCAGAGCACAAGGTCAAGAAAACTGAGATGGGCACAGTAGGCCTTGGCCCTCTAGGGCTGTCGCGCCGCTGAGTTTAGTTTAGTTTAATAGTTTAAGAAAAACTTTAAAGGGAAAAAAAAATTTGAACTGCAAGAGTTAGAAGGAAAAAAAATAACAGCAAATAATTCTAATTTTGCATATTACAAGCAAACTTAATGATTTATTGTGAAATTTTTTTTTTGTGTAAAATGCCTTAGATTTTCTTATGCATTCAAATTTAAAAATGTAAGATTGGTAGGTTTTTATGTTAATCTTTAACATCTGTACTTTAACAAGATTTATTACAATATTTGAAACTGAAAAATTTATTTATGTGTAAAAGTGATAACTTTATTTAGTTTTCTTGATGAAGTTTGACAAAGTGAACGTTTATTTCAAAAGGGCTAGAAAAACAAATCCTATGCAAAATATACATTTTTGCAAGTTCTCTATGATAACCGCTTTTTAATTTTAAAAAAAAACTGTCGAGTTATTTTTAAATTTTGGACTCCTTGTATTTCTTCATCTGATCGGATGTATGAACCCTGGATATTCATCATTAGTGGGTAATTTAATTATAAGTATTATTTAAAAAAAATTATGTTAAATTAGAAACATGTATGGTATATAAATTGATATCTTGATATTGATTTTTTGCACAAAAAATTTTCAGGGTTTTTCACTTTGTGTGACAATCACCCCTAAAAGACAGATTTCAACAATTCAAAAAATGTTAAGAATCTCAGCAGCTTTCTTAATATTTTTCTCTTTTTTTGTCTTTGAGATGATACTGCTAGAAATACTTAATGACTATTCACAGACAGATCTCAACAATTAGAAAAATATTAAGATTCTCTAAAAAATATTTTTCTATTTTTTGTCCTTGAGATGATAGTACTAGAAAGACTTTTCATGGCAAATCCTGTTTCACCTCCACTAGTATTTTAAACTTTAGAGAAAAGGGATTTTAAGTATCCATGACGTTTCAAATGCCAAAGAAATATTTTCTATCTATCAAAACATTAAAATTAGGGCAATAATCCTCCCATAATTTGTATACACTTTGATATTTTGAAGAAAAAAATTGAGCATTTAAAACTCCATGGCTTACTCAACGTTTATCTTACTCTTTCTATACTTTAAATTATTTACGTCGTTGACAGGAATTTGCCTTGAGAGATTTCTCCTGTGTAATAACATCTACTTAATGGGCAGGCTATAAAAATACTTCACAAAATAGTAATTTTCCTTTTTGTCACAGTTGCATTGATTTTAGGCTTTGGAAACTGAACCGAGAACTTCCATATTTCTAGTTCCTTTTTTACTAAGACTAGGTCCCCATTTAAAATATGAAATTTAATCTTTTTACCCAGCAATTAATTTCACATTCATTATATGTATTGATAGACAAAGCAAAGATATTCAAAACAAGAAGAGTTATATATAGTTTGTCTGTAGTGAGAACTCCCCTTGTCACAAAGTTTGAGGCCATCTGCTGCTATAGAAACAAGAAATAGTGCATTTCAAAGAGGGGAGCTTCTTTCTTCACCATTCCCTTTCTCTCACTGACTTGAGCCAAAAGCTGTCTTAAATGATGACCCAACACTCCTTTTTAGGATAGTTAACCCTCATTACCATAGTCACTGCCATTGTTCCACGCGAATGGTTGAGGGAGTTCTTTACATATGCAAACTATAAATAAATATTTGATATTGAAAAAATTTTACTCAGTCAATATTTTTTAAAAATTCTTCATTATACTAAGTGCATAGCAAATGTTTCTGCTTTGTCGGCTTCACTGTCATCCGCTCATATGAGATGTTATGTCGACTTCTCTCTGCTCTGTGATAAATAAATTCAACTGTAATTTACTTTTATCAGTGAACTCAAGTTTGTGTTTTTGTTTCAGGCATACCCAATTTTATTAGGAGACATAGATCCTAATGGCAACCTAAATGCTAATATTTTTCATCAGTACAAAAATATAAGAGGAAAATTTGCAGCTCAGGTAATTAAAGTATATTTTTGTATAAAAAATTGCTTGTAACTGATAAGTTTCTGATTTGTATGTGCATTTTGTAAAATTTTATTTGAAAGTTACCTTATTGTTGATCCATATTTTCTCTCTGTTACTATACAATTAAAAAATGACATTTAACATATTTTACAAATGACTTTTTGCATATTTTGCCATATCTCGATAACTTTTTAATAGAATTGAAAAAATTTTGCATGTAATCAAGGTTGCCAATTCGCAGGAAGAATAGGGAAAACTTGGAAAATACGGGGATTTCACCTAAAATAACGGGGACTTGTGTTTATTTTCCTCTTTTAAAAAATGGTAACCTCTCCAAATGCAATCTGGGGGATATTTAAAGATATTTCAGCTATATTAAACTATTTAATTTTCTACAACATTATATGTTTTAAGTGTATGTTCAGCTGTTTCTTTCTTCATTAAGTTTTTCCAGCCTTTATAACTAGTATAATTAGCCTTATACAGCTCATACAAGAGCACATGACTGTGTTTTTTCTCTTGATATTTCTTGATTATTGATGTAGCGTTTTTAAAACTTCTTTTTCATCGGGTGTTTTTGAAAAGTGCTTTATTTTCCCTTTTCCAAATTGAGATTTTTCCTTTACCATGTTGATTTTCATTACGAATGATGCAGAAAGACACTGTTCACTGTTGTATTCAATGTTTTCACAATTAATTCAACCCCAATCTATTTCGGCACGTCGTCAGTTCGTAGCGTATGAAAACACAATTCGATTTAAATGGAAAAACAATTTTCAGTTTTCAAAAACAATGCTTTTTTTTTGACATGACGTTTAATTTAAAACCAGATAAAACTGTCAATTGTCAAAAACTTTCCAACCCTGCCTAATTATGATATTTTTTAAAGTGCTTAAAAATATTATTTGAGTGCTTGAAAAGTGCATAAAAGGTGCTTATTTTTTGTTGAATAATTTGACTATGCATCCTGATATGTATTGTGTATAATATGTACAGGGAAAACCAGATTTCCTCCAGATTCGAGTGGCAATCCTGACAATAGTAAAATTTGTTTATCCAAGAATAATTCCTAAGCTCCTATATCAGGACAAGCTAAGAGGCATGTCAGCATCAACTGCTTGTAATAAATTTTTTGAATCAGCTTTTGACAGGTATTGAAAATGACTTACTTATGAACATTTTCTGCAATTATATTTTAAAAATTTTTTTAAGGATTGTGTTCAAAGAAGAAGAACAGGAAAGAAAAAAAAAAAAGTCTTAATTTTCTCATTATGCAGGTTGTTATTATAAAGTTTAAATATTTTTTGTTTAATAATTTTTTGTTTTTAAATATTTTTTTGTAAAAATTAATGTAAAATATAGTTTATATTTATTGAGATATTAATAAAGTTTCAATTAAAAGCTTGAAGGGAAGCAGTAAAAAGTAGCTGTTTCCATAGCGTTAGCTTTGGCTCTTAATAGCTTTTTTCAAAGTTTATGTTATAAAATGGTTAACAATAATTTGTTTTAATATAGCAGCAGTTTTTGAAAACAGGATTGCCACTCCATTGGAAGAATAGGGAAAGCTCGGAAAATGCAGAGAATTTTGATTTTTTTTTCTTTACAAACTGGGAATTTAGTTTTGTATTTTTGTCTTTTAAATAACAATGACCACTCAATGCTTAATCTATGGGATATTTAAGGATGATATTCCTGCTATAAACTACTTCATTTACTATAACATTATTTTAGTATGTTCAGCTGTTCCTTTTTTTTCCTCTTACATTTTTCCAACAGTTAAAACTAGTATAGTTAGCCCACTATAGTTAGCCCACTATAGCTCACACTAAAGCAAAGGGTTTGTGTTTTATCTTAATATACTGTGTAATATATATACAGGAATGTTTTTTTCCCTCCAGATTTGAGTGGCAACTCCAAAGTTAGGAAATTGCATTAAATTTAAAGAATCTATTTTTGTTTTCAAGAAATAAATTATAAATGTACTAAGCTTTTTATTTTGAGTAATATTAAATTTTGTTTGTTTAAATCTAAACTATTCTATATATTTACTGAAAAATTGAAATGGTCAATTTTAGTTACTTCTTGCTTTGTCCGTTTATTCTGGGAGAAACACCTACTCTGATATAAATCAGTTTCACTTTTGATCTTAAAAGAAGTTTTTATCTCTTTAGGTTCAAGACAATAAATTTGTAGGCACCCAAGTAACGACTGATTACAGGGGGAGTAATTATACTGCGTCTGCAACTTTTGCAAATGTAGACATCCTGAATCACTCTGGTGTGGCAGTTTTGCAATATCTTCAGAATGTGACGCCTTCTATAGCAGTTGGAACTGAGATGGCCTACCAGTACGGCCCTCAAGTACCGGGTGGAGAAATAGCTCTGATGTCTCTAGCTGGAAGGTACACTGGTAAGGCTTTTGATCATTTATTTAAAGGAAACATTGTCAAAATGCACAAACTATGGCCCTCAATTTGGTACGAATTAACCCTGAAAAATTTTTAAGTGTTTATTTTAATTATTAAATTAAATAAAATGCTGTATTAGAAAGTTAAATTTTGTTATTTTATTATATCTTAAATTAGTCACCATGCTCTTTTGTTGACTTATTATTTTATTGCAAGTAAGAACTTGCATTTATTGAATCATTAACCTGTGAACCATTTTGTTTTTCAAATTTTATTTATTTCCTTGAGTTCAGTGCTTGCAATGAAAATTTATTACTTGCAAATTTTACGCATTACAATGTATATATATTTCTATATGTGTGTGTTACTTTACTTTCAGTTAAGAATCTAAATAGACCTTACAATTTTAAGATTATCGGCCTGCTATCAAAAAAATGTTTTGCATACCTTTTCTGATGTAATGTTGCTTTTGTCACTCAATATTTTTATTTTGTATTTTACCCCTTACTAGAATTTACAAAGCAACCATATGGGTACAGTTTCTACCTTAATTTTTTTTGATTTAAGACCTTCTTTTGGAAAGAAAGTTTGTACATTTGAATTACTTTTTACCTGCTACAGTGGCTTACGTATTACCAGAATTGGTACTCTGTGTACATTCAGACTTACAATTTAAATGCTCCAAAACATCAGTTCTTAAATATTTTAATTCTCACTGCCAAAAAAAATTTCTTTTGGTGGGCTTAGACCAACTGTAAAATTTCAGTTTTAAATAATTTTCATTTAATAATATTTTACAGTTACTTACAAGATTATTATTTTTTAAATATATATTTTATTTAAAATACTACGTGCATGTAATATATCGTTTCTAAAAAGCGTTTCTATGCATAAATAAAACAAATGAAAAAAGAATTATCAATTATTAAAGAAATTGTTATTGAAAAAGGAGCTTTTTTAAAATGCAATTTAACAAAAAACTTCAGCAAAATTTTTCTCTCTGTTAATAAAGAGTAAGATGCTGCACAGTGCTCGATTAATAACATAATTTGTGTTTTTTACATATCTTGGAGATCTTTGCAATTGAACTTATTGATGTTATTTTTATGTATTTTAATAAATTTCGTTTTTCATCTTTTGCTGCATTGTTAAAACTTTGTCTCTATTAAAAACATTGAATCAAGGTTTGTTATTGTCTATAATAAGCTTGTCATATGTTTTGTTAAATAATCTGTGTGAACGAGAATTATAGAAAAAAAAATTCATTTATGTTAGTTTCTCCTGGTTTAATCAAATAATTACCTTTTAGATTAAATCAGATTTTTAGATATTTNTTTTTTTTTTTTTTTTAAGAGAGTGGGGAAGATGAAGAAATGTTTGTTTATTTTGATTGTTAAAAAGTGTCCGGGAAATTGACCCTTCCGGAAAAGGGACGTCCGGATATGGGACGTTACACTGTATATCGTTTCTAAAAATTGTTTCTATGTATAAATAAAACAAATGAAAAAAGAATAATCAATTAAAGAAATTGTTATTGAAAAAGGAGCTTTTTTAAAATGCAATTTAACAAAAGACTTCAGCAAAATTTTTCTCTCTGTTAGTAAAGAGGAAGATGCTGCACAGTGCTTGATTAATAACATAATTTGTGTTTTTTACATATCTTGAAGATCTTTGCAATTGAACTTATTGATGTTATTTTTATGTATTTTAATAAATATCGTTTTTCATCTTTTACTGCATTGTTAAAACTTTGTCTCTATTAAAAACATTGAATCAATGTTTGTTATTATTTATAATAAGCTTGTCATATGTTTTGTTAAAAAATCTGTGTGAACGAGAATTATAGAAAAAAAATTCATTTATGTTAGTTTCTCCTGGTTTAATCAAATAATTACCTTTTATATTAGATCAGATTTTTAGATATTTTATGAAATTTTCCTATTATTGGGAAAGTTTCTTGACAAATTTTATTTTTTCTTCACTTGGTTTATTACTTTCTTGAATATTGTTGCTAAAGCATTGAATTAAGCTTCTTGCTTTGTTATTAGTTTATAGCTTTTATTTGTTAAACATTTCAAACTAATCAGAATTCCCTATTCATTAAAGAATATATATTTGTTTAAAATGGAATCAATGTTTTTCAATTTAAAATTATGAATTTAAAAATATAATAAAAACATTTAATGCTGATCTTAAGTCAAAAATATTAAGATCAGTTTTTACTTATTACTGTGGCATAGTTAATATATTATATTGTCTACAAAAATCTGTAAAATTCCCTGTATGTAGCATACAGGGTGCATAGCCTTTTTAAAATGTGCTTAAAGTTGCTACTTTTTGTTTTTAGCCATTTACAGGGTTGGTTACATTCACACAATTCCACAAAAGAAAGAGCATAAAACAGAGGGAGAAAATTACATCCATGCCTATGGTGGGATTCAAACCCACAACCACTCACCCCGTAGTTCAGTAACTACTAGACCAGTGATCGGCAACCTGGAATTTGAACATTCACTAATTACTTATTTTCATTGGGTTCAGAGTAGTCTACAATTACAAAGCTCCATCGTCACAAAATTGCCCTTTCCCTTTTATTCATTTAATTTAATAAAGAAAGAAATAATTGAGATGAAATAATTGAGAATAATAAAGAAAGAAATAATTGAGAATTTAATCTTAGAATATTTTACCTGAGAGAACATCCATTAATTGCATTAATTTTTTTTTAACTTGTTTTTTTTTTTTTAACTTATTGCCTTTTATATTTATTATTTTATGATTACTTCTAAGATAATCAGTATTCTTTGGTTCTTTTATTAAGAAACTCAATAATGTTTACAGGCAAGATTTTTTAAAAAAAGTGTGAAGTGAAAGGCTTTCTCTATTATAAATGCCATAAAAAATCTTATATTTTTCAGATTTGTCATTCCAAAAAAATTCATCTTTTAATGATTTGATTTAAAAATACCTGGTATAAAAAAATTCAATAATCTCAGTTTTGTGAAATATTATGAGTGTAGAGATCATATAATAATTAATGCCTGACAAACATGTTTAACTTGGGTACTCATTATTTATGTTTCAAAATTATTAAAAGCTTTTTAAAAAATCATTTCATAAAAGAAATACTTAGGCAAGTAATAAATTGTAATAAAAATTTAATAGTGGCCATTCATTATTTTATATTAGTAATATGAATTTATTGAAGTTTTCTTAATTCTTTATAAATTCAGTATGATCAATAATATTAATCTTGTTAATGTTTTGTTGAATAGGCTTTTATAAATAACTTTTATTTAAATCTTTCATTTACTTTTCTAAATAATACTTAAACTAATTATATCTTTTAATTAAAATTTATTTTTTAACATAATTAAATAAAGTAATTATTATTTTAAAAAATAGAATGAGCCAAGCAATATTAAATATATTTAAAATTGTACATAAATTCTTTTTTATGGTGGCTAATATAATCAAGAAAAGAGTTTTTTGTCAGAAACTAATTATTTTATCATGATCGTGTAAAGTTGTGGGTAATCATTTCGCATTTTGTTAATGTATTTATATAATTATAAAGAATTTTAACCCATTGGAAGGAATTTTTTTTAATTAGCACTCATATTTTAATTATAATTTTTTTTTTCTTAAATGCTTTTAAAATATTTTCCTAGTACTTAAAATATGCTTATTTTTTGTTGTAAAATTTGGCTACGCATCCTGTGTAAAATATTTCAAACATTACGTTATGGTTATTATGGTATTTCATAAAATTAACTGGGTTTTTTTTCCGTATTAATATAAATAAGCAAAAAATTGTGTATGTGTAGTAATAATATTTAACTTGTGTTATCATTTTCAGGTGCTAACTATACCGTAAGTGGATCTGTGGGAGCTGCTTCTATTCATGCCTGCTTTTGGCGAAAACACAACGAAAATATACAGGTAACTTATTCATTTCAGGGTGTTATGAATTGTTTTATAAGATATCAAGAGCATTGTGTGGAGGTAAAAAAAAATTAAAATCTGTTTTAGTAGACTCTGAGAGATTAGTTTTTAGAAAGTTTAGTTTAAAAAGTAGGGTTGCCACTCAACATCGAGAACAGGAAAATACTGGGAATTTAAATATCGCCTAAAATAACAGGGAATTTTGTGTTTTTCTATACAAGCAGTGATACATAAGGGGATGTTTGGGGAAATACAGGGATTTTTTTTCTTATTTTCGTCTTTTAAAAAATAGAGACCATTCAAGGTGCAACTTATAGGATATTTATGAATATTTTAACTATACTAAACTGTTTAATTTACTGTGACATTATTTAAGTATGTTCAGCTGCTCTTTTTTTTTTTCTCTAAGTTTTTCCAGCTATTAAAACCAATATAGTTAGCCCAATATATAGGGTATCTGCACACCTCGAAAGTTGTGGATTTAAGTTGCCTAAAAATCTATTTTTTAAAATGGAATTTACCCCCCTCGCATTATCACAGTGTTCCAATGTTCAGAATATCTGAATTTGTAACGAAATCCCCACTCACACTTATATTTTACTAAAATATAAATTGTTTTATCCTGTTCTTTAAAAATTATGATGTTCTTTCAAAGAATGAAAGAAGGAACACCATTTCTAGAGCGAATTATCTTTTAAACTTCTATGATTTCAAACTTTTTTTATCTATTTATTATTATTTTTATTTTATCAATTTAAAATTCTAGTTCCGGCTTTTTATATTACACTTATTTTTAAGAAGTAAGACAGATTTAAATAACTACATATATCTGACTGTATTTAGTTATTTTGCTTTTGTATTTTTTTCTATTTTATTGCTTCAACTCCATCTTTAATCTTTTTTTTTTTTTTTTTAAGTTAAAAATCAGTAACATGAAGATGCAGAACAGTTTTAGTTATACCTATTATTTCAATTAATGTTATTATAGTGCTTTTTTAAATTCATTGTTGTGTTTTTATCGAAGAAAATAGTAACTTCGGAAAGTATTGAAAAATTCTTGGAATTAGTCATGGATTTGAAAATCTAAAATGCAGCAGATATGCTGAATATAGCTCACACAAGAGCACAATAATTGTGTTTCCTCTCAGTATATTGTGCTTAATGTGTACAGGGAAAACACATTGAATTTTTTCCCAAATTTGGGTGGCAACCCTGAAAAGGGATCAGGTGAAAAAAGATAGACTAAAATAGATCAGTGGTATTTTCCTTTATAAAATATATTATATATGGTGAAATGATAACTTTGTTGTCTGATTGTTATGTTGGTTGTAATTGGATTTTAAGATAACCCATAAAAGTAAAATTAACTCTTTATTGAAAAAGAAATATTTTCCTTTGAAATATTATAATGTATATCTTTTTTTTATTATTTGTCCTTTTCTTAATTATTAACTTGAGATTGAGGTCGTGTCAAGTTTTGATTTCTACATCTTCATGCTTATAGTTTTATTTTTATGTAGTTTAAGCTCTTTTTATTAAATATTTCCTTCTAATGCTCCTTTTCCCTAAGGCTGTGGTTTCCAACTGGGGGCCGCATCCGGCCCGTGAAGCCTTTTTTTGTGGCCAACGAACTAAAATATATTAGTTATCATTTTTTTGCAGACGATTTTCGTAAAAAAATCTATATGGGTTTTAAATACTTTTCTCATTAATAAAAACCTAATTTCTTCGTTTCTGTGAAATTTATCATACCAACGGTGCAAAAAAAAAATTATTTCTCAGGTTTTGCATCCAAGAAAATATTTATTCAAATACAAAAATAATCATGTATGTTGCTCTTTTTTATTTAATTTTTTTGTAGTTTGTGAATATAATTTAGCATGTGTGTATCAGAAATTTTTTGAAGAAATTCTCCGATTTAACTTTTTGAAACCACTCATTTTGGACGAAAATATTTACACACACATTTGTACATTATAAATTTAAAATGTAAATATCTATTCTCTGGTGGTTGCAGCAGACAAACCTCAATTTTGTCATTGAAAATTTTGTGTGCTACTGTGTAAGTTTTAATACCAACCTTTTTATAAAGTTTTATATCTTAACAATTAGATATCTGTGGCACATTAATTGTTTAATACATGAGTGCACATTAAAGTTATTGTAGCCTGAATTTTTTAATGTGCAATTAAATATTTTTAAAAATCTACACTCTAGTGTAATATTCCTATTGGTTTCAGAGCTAGAAAAGTCTGTGCAAGGTTGGTAGCTTGGTAATAGTGTCACATGACTGTTGTTCCAAATCATAGTATTTAAAATACTATAATTTTTTAGTTTTTATTGCCCTCTATTGTTCTGTAAAGCAGTGTTTCCCAAAGTGTGGTACGCGTACCCCCAGAGGTACAGGAACAGTTTAGCTGGGGTACGCGTTCTTATGTGAATTGTCTTGCAACAAATGAAAATTTACGATTGCGCGTTTTTCTACTGACTATTTTTTTTTTTTTCAGAATTAACAGTTAATAATTAGTGGTGTCAACAGCCAATTGTGATTTTGACTTATGTGCAATTTTTTTGTAGTAAAAAATGAATTAATTTTTTTTATTAGTGGTACACAGCGTTACGAAAAATTTAGAAAGGGTACACATAAGTCATATGTTTGGGAAACACTGCTCTAAAGAAATGATTTGAAAAAAGCTTTTTATTGCATTTGCTTCTGGGTTTTAATGGCAGTTTTTAATTGTTCTAGGTTGGGGTTGAGGCAGAAACAAACCTGCGACTGGGAGAAAGTGTTTGTACAATCGGCTATCAAGTTGATTTGCCTAAAGCCAACATGGTTTTTAGAGGTAAGTATTCTTTTTTTTTTTTTTTTCCTTTCTTGCTCTTTCATATTTTATGAAACCTTAATTCAAGTAGGCAATAGATCAATGAAAAAATGAGAAATTTGATTGATCTGCACAGATCAAAGGAATGTTGATGAAAAATGACTTAGATAGTTATCAATTACTTAAAACTATCAAATCAGTTTTGGTATATCATTATTTTTTGGTGTCATTTAGAAAAAAATTGGATCAATCGGTTGGCAATCATTGGTCGCTCCGAAGGTTCACAATAGGTGCAACCTTTGGAGAAAGGGTTCAAGCCAGCCAGACTGGGCATCAGGTCAGCCCATTGTGTTATTTCCTGAAGATAAAGAAGAAAGTATTTGAGTGGTTTTAAATATAGTCATCTGAATGGTTGCGAATTAATTTAAAATGCTTCAGAGTTTCGTGTCCTGACCGTTACCACTTCTTTAAAGCATGTATGAATCAACTCTTAAAAATGTCAAAGAGTCTTATGTTTTAAAGTCAAAATTATAACATCGTTGATATTAAAGAATCTTGCTATATATAATTTAAAAAATGTGAAATGATGCGATTCACTTAAATTATTTAAAGTTTAATTTTAGTTACACTAACCTTAAATTTGATCAAAAGCTCTTCAGAATTGTTTTTTTTTTTCTGGAATAATAGAAAGAGATTTATTTACTTTGATTGTTAAGAAGTATCTGGAAAATTGTTGTTTATGGTAAATGGGCACCCATGTACAGGATTTTGTACTGTGTATAAATGTGAAAATCAAAGCATTAAAATAAGTATAATATTATATAAACTAGCAAGAGCATTTTATTTTATTTTATAACCGTCGTTGAACAGCCGACCCAACTTCATGGGTTTACGACTACTAACGTTCAACTCCGTAGCCTTGTAATTTTGAACTAATCCAGAAGACAAGGAAACTCCTGGATCAGTACCCCCAGAGGTATTGATTTGTTGTGGGAACATGGAGGACTTTGAGACTCGACAGATTTAACGTGCATCAGTTACCATTTACTACACGGGGAGTCTTCGGCCGGCGAGGATCGAACCCACGACCCTTTGGATCTGGGCCCAGCGCCCTAGCAAGAGCATTAAAAAATTCTGACATTTTGGAAGATTATTAGGAGTGCCCCCTTGCCTATCGCTCCTACTGTGACAATCAATTCAAAATTGAAAATGCCCCCTTGCCTATCGCTCCTACTGTGACAATCAATTCAAAATTGAAAATGCCCATGTCTTAAAAACTATTTCTCGAGTCTGACCCCTGTTCTAATCTTACTAGTCGACGGCTATTTGTCTACATGTTGCTGCATATCTTGGTTGCTTTTATATCAATCCTGATGTGCAGCTTCTTAATGATTTCAAAAATTACCTAAGATAACAGAAAAAAATGCATGAAATTTTGAATTTTTCTTTAGAAACTGGGTAGTTTTTTAATAAAAAGTAACCACTCAAAGGGCAATTTATGAGATATTTAAAGCGGATGTTTCAGTATATTAAACTATTTCATTTACTTTAGCCTTACTTGTTATAAGTATGTTCAGCTGTTCCTTTTTTCTTTAAGATTTTCCAGCAATAATGACTAGTATAGTCATTCGAATACAGCTCGTACAATATCACAGTGTTAGAGTGTTTTTCCTCTTAATATATTGTGTATATATATTATGTACAGGGAAAACACAGGGAGTTTTTTTTCTCCAAATTTTAGTGGCAACCCTGCTAATTTGTGTTTTTAATTTTCCTATCTTTATTAAATACAAATGTTCAAAAATTAAAGAAAAAAGAACTTTTTTAAATAATGTTTAAAAATATACGTTTTCTTGACAAGACTTGTATTAGTGCCCATCAATAGAGGTGCTGCCAGCTTTACTGGATTTTGCCAGTTTCTCCTGGACTACTGGTTTAATTAGAATTCTCCTGGTTTTTTCCACACTTTAGAAAATTCCTTAAACTTGTGGAAGCTTCCTAAAAAAGTCCCTATTGAGATAGAATGTTTGTACAGATTATTGCTTGCTTGAATATTTAAATACCTAAGTATTACTAATACATAATGAAGCGAACCTCGTTTGTCGAAATCAGTTCAAAATTTCTTTTTTTATTAAATGTTCAATATATATTTTATTCAGAACTCTCTTTTTAAATTAATTTTTAAAAAAAATCCTTTTAACTATCTTTGATGAATTAAATGCCTTTTAATATTTAAAATTATGAGTATAAATAATACATAACATTCCAAATATGTTTAATGTCAATCATAACTGGAAAATATTGCAATGTTTCTCTTATGATGACTACAAAAATTCCCTATGCGTAAAATATTTAGTACATTATGCAACAATTATCATGAACTTTATATTATTCCGTAAAATCTGCTGAATTTTTTCCTATCCATGTTGGCAACTATGCAGGTGATGCTAGTTGAGTGTATGAAATAGTTTTTTCGTAAATGTACTCTGTAAATGTATTCTGTACATTGACTATTGTTTTTTTTATTTTTTATGTAGGCATGGTTGATACCACCTGGAATGTTGGAGCTGTTTTAGAAAAAAAACTTCATCCGTTACCTTTCACGCTGGCTCTGAGTGGAATGATTAACCACACTAATGTGCAGCACAAATTTGGAATCGGTCTCATCATAGGATAATTAATTATAGAACATTAATTAACAACTTTCTTACAGTGTTGAATGGACAATCAATGTCATTTAACACATGAAGCATAAGTGGACAATAGTAGTGCAATTGCAAATCATTACATGAAAATTTTGCATTTGTTTTGATGAATTTGTACATTTAAGTTTTCATCTGCTTACATAGTTTTTTGTTGTTGAAAAGACTAGTATAATTAATAAATAAATCTGTACAAAAAGTGAATCAAAATGAATGTCTGTATTTGTGTTGAAAAAGGAAGATTCCAATAAACTGTTAGTTTTTGATTTCTTGCTCTTTGTTTTCAGGTTTTATGCACTCTCGTATAAGAATGCATTTTCACTTAGTGTTTCTGCCATTTGAAATACAATATTTATTGTAGTATGAAATTTTAGTCTAGGGTCCAAGTTATTATATTTAGAATTTTGAAGTTTTTTTTTTTTTTGAGAAGATATTTTTAAAAATGCTACTTAGCTTTAAAACTACGAAAGGTGATGTTTTAAAAATAAACATGCGCACCTGGAAAGTCATAGATTTTGATGTTAAACAAAATTTGGCATGAAATGTCATGATTTTAACGAGTTAAAAAAAAATCATGGAAAGCCATGGATTTAGGTCGTTGAAAAATCTAATTCTTTAAATAGAATTTGTCCCCCTCCCCCCTAATTTCACGGTGTTCCGAATATCTGAATTTGTAACAAAATCAGATATTCGGTCAAACTCACAGTCATATTTTATTAAAATATAAAACGTTTTTATCATGTTCTTTAAAAATTATGGCGTTCTTTCAAAAACTGAAAGAAGGAATATCACATGAAGATATATAAATATATGAAAATGCAGCATATAAATAGTTTGGTTATACCTATCATTTCAATTAATGTTATTATAATGCTTTTTTTAAATTTATTGTTGTGTTTTTATCAGAGAAAATAGTAAATTGGTTAAAATTCTTGGATTTAGTCATAAATAGTTATGGATTTTAAAATCTGAAATGTAGCAGAAACCCTGAATAAAGTAAAAGCTATTTTGTATTCTGCTATGTAAATTGCATACCATTTTTTTAATTTTTTATTGAAAACGACAGTGTTTTTTCACATTTGGAGAGTCATGGATTTTTATCGAAAAAAATTGGATCAATCGGTTGGCACCATTTCTAGAGCGAATTATCTTTTAAACTTCTNCCTGAATAAAGTAAAAGCTATTTTGTATTCTGCTATGTAAATTGCATACCATTTTTTTAATTTTTCATGGATTTTTAGTCATGGATAGAGTCATGGATTTTTACCCTGATTAAAATTTGTCATGGAAAGTCATGCTTTTCAGTAATGAATACTAAAAATTCATGGAAACTCCCAGTTCATCAAGGATTTTTTACTAGTGGAGCCCTTCGTAATGTCGCTGGATTTAAAAATCCCACATCTCAATTTATATGCACATGTAGAGCCTGAACTAGAATTGGGAGGGGGGGGGGGTCTCTAGATCAGAGTCCCAATGGCTTTACATGTAGTTATGTTAAAATTATATTTGTTATATTGCATCGACAAATTAACTCAAGTAAAATGTTTTGTAATACCTAATTTTTTATTTATTGTGCTGCTCACACTAATGTATTGATATATTTTGCTTTGGCTATATTTATACAACATTAGAAAGCACTCCATTTTGCGGATATAAGCGTGTGAGCTGATGAGGAGATTAAATCTTTTCTTCATTTTGTTTTCCAGATTTTTAATTAAGTTTTCATTTTAGATAAATAAAAGAAATTTAGTATTTTTTAAAAATAGTTTTATTTTAATAATTTTTCTTTATTATTTTCCATCTTTTCTCGATATTTTTGCTTATGTATGTATATATATATTTGATAGTTCATGGAATGATGTTGATACTTTTGTTTCTTTCAAATTAAATTAACATGATCTAAATTAATTTTGAAATTCATTATTAAACATTTAAATCCATTTTCTAATTTGTATGTTACCGTATATTCCGGCGTGTAACGCGCACTTTTAATACAAAAAATAACATTGGAATTTACAGGTGCGCGGTATACACCGAATATGAAAAATTATAGATTAAAAAAATTTAAATATAGAAAAATTAAATATAGATATAGGGGAACAACATTCTTGCACACACCTGCACTGCTGAATACAACAATCTCTTTTCTCAGAATCACATTATTACTCTTTCAACTCTACCCTCACATACATGTCAAATTCAGTTCTTTTATTTTTGCAAAAGATAGGGAGAAAAACTTCATATTTACGATCTTGAAAGATGAGATATTGCACATGTACAATCCAAATTTTCGTCTGCGTTGTACAAAGAGTATATCTTAAAATTTAAAGAAAAGTAATTAGAAATTACGGGTGCGCGTTATATGCCGGGGCGTGGTATGGGCCGGAATATGCGGTAGTTACTGTGATTTTTTTCTTAATTTTTTAAATTAGCTTCATCCTTTTTTTATTGCTTTGGTTTAAGCTGACTTATTAAAAAAGTGTGCTAAGATAAAACAATATTTTTTTTAAGAAAGAAAATATTCGTTTAAAGAGATAGTTCTTTTGGCGACTTTATTGTGTAATAATGTATTCTCTTGCGTAAGTCATGAATTTAAAAACTCTAGATTTAGCACATACCCTGAAACTACCATGACTGCTGATTCCAGTGCTCAAAATACTAACGCAATTTAAAACCATCGATCGACAACTATTATACACGATGTTTCTTTAGGAAAATTCATTCAGCTCTTAAGAAAAATTGTTATTCAAACCAAATTACAGTCAAACTTGTTTATATTAAGCTCTAATTTAAAAAGAATCCCGATTTAACATTACCAGATTATTGTTATAAACCATGCGGAAATAGCTAGAAAGTGCAAATTCACATCTAAATTAAGCAGATTTAAAAGTGATTCTGTAGCTACTTGAAACGTGATGCTAATTGTTGATAGAAAAGAGTGACACCTCATCTGTCTGAAAGAGTGATTTTCCTGTCTTGATAACTTCTTGGTTTCCTTTGGGTGGCAGCAGCCTGCATCAGAATAATTCTTGAGAAAGTTTGAATACTGGGGAGATATTTAAGTAGTAACTGTGTAATTTCCGTGTTACCACAAGCAACTTAAACTCAACTATTTTCAGCCTGAGGTGACTATGGCAACTTTTTTTTGCCAGAAAACTGCTAAAAACAAGGTTCCCACTGGTCAGGGAAAACCTGGAATTGTCAGGCAATTTTATTTTAACTCCAAAAATCAGGGGAAGTTGAAATGTTTATACAAAAAGCTGGGAAAATCCTGCATTATACCTGGAAAATAACTAGTCTTAAAATAGTCAGTAACAGTAATCAGTTATTGAGATTCTAGTTAAATAATTCTAATGTCTATTACAATTTTTTATTGAAATAGTTGAACTGAAATGTTTCCATCCTCATTTAATGATATTTATTTTAAACAGAAAATCAAATACTTAGCAAAACAGATAAAAGAATCAAAGTTTTCTGATGAAAAATTTCGTGGTATAAATAAATTATGAACTGGATGAATTTTCATTGAAATTTACCTGATATCTCTGGAAAAGTCAGGGAATTTTTTTTTCTGAAATTGAGACTTTTCTAAATACTGTGATTATCTTTTTCTTGAAAATTTTGAATTGCAAATTTGAGTCATCACTTTTTAATGTGCTCAATTTGCACACATTCCATTGTAAGTCTTGTTTTTCGATTGCCTTTGTAACAGTTATTACTACAAAATTCTGCATAATTTCGAAAAACCAAATTTTTAATATGATATTATAATGCGTTTTTTCGAATTTGAATAATCACTTTTCCTTATATATATATATATATACATATATGTATACTTTTTTTTAATGAATTATAGAATTAAATTTCAGAAAATATATTAATTTTTTTTATATAAAAATTATTATATTTGTCACCAACTTGACGAAAGGAATTATGGTATATGACATTTAATAAAATTTTAATCATATTGTGAAAAAATTTTGTTTTCATTTCAGCAACTATTTTCTTGCTTTAGGCTGCTAAAAGTAACTATTTTGTTCATTTTTTTTCTGTGGCAATTTTCTCTCTCTTTTTCTTACTTCCTGATACTGTGTTATGCTGCAGTTTTTGCTTCATGAAATCAAAGAATTTATGTTATTATTTGTTAAATTTTGTTTAGCTTTGTTTCCGTTCAAAAATTCTTCTGAAGATATCTTTTGGATTCATTGCAGAGATAAGTTGTTATATTTTGTATCATAAGACAATATTTAATAACGAATGTTAATACCTTACAATAATCGTCTGGAAACCTAGATTGGGGCAGTAAGTTCAAGAAAAATGAAAACCTGGAATTTAGCAATTTCGATTAAAGCGGTCATTTGCTTGGTTTGGTGTTAATAATAGCATTTTGACGGTGATCTGTTAAATTAGCGGACTTTTCTTCACTCGTTATATAGAGCTCTTTTACTGAAATGGAACTTATAACGAAGGAAATGATGCAAATTTATTATTTTATCTGTTCATAAAAGAAATAGAAGAGATAATATATAAGGAAATGGGCTGGCCACATTGTGAGAATGGAGGATAGCCAAGCAACCAAACACAAAGACAACCAAAAACGTTTTCAGTTCCAGGCCAACAGGTACAAGAAAAAGAGGACGACCAAACCTAAGATTTTTTAGACTGCCTTGAAAAGGACTTACAAGTTTTAAAGATAATAAACTGGAGAACCTTGGCTAAGGGAAGAATGTCTTGGCATAGGCTTTTTGAGAAGGCCAGGACCCATCCTGGGCTGTCGTGCCAATGAGAAGAAAAAAAATACAAAAGGTTCAGGATGAGTAGTGTTTTTAAAAAAGGTGATTTTTTTTATTTATACGGGGTTTGTAAAAAGTGCTTAATTTTCTATCTTTTAAAAAGAGATTTTTTCTTTTCCGTGATGATTGTTCTTCTAAATTACAAAAAATGCATGACTTTCACACTTAACAATTATCAGAAACTAGATATTTTTTTTCATGATTATGTAAAGTTTTTTAAAATGTTTTTGAGTTTTATTGATTTTATGTTTATAAATTAAGAACTCTAAACGATAGGAAAAAATTATTTTTATTAATACTTGGTTCCTAGTTATATATATATATATATTTTTGGAAAGTGATTAAAAATATTTTTTGAGTGCTTAAAAGGTGCATATTTTTTATTGAAAAATCTGGCTACTTACCCTGTTAATGTTCAACGAAAAAACGTTAAAGCAAACGTTAACGTTTAGTTAAAGCGTATATAAATTCTT